AGGGAGATGGGCCACATGGCAAAGGGAAGTTGGGAGCGTGGCGGTCTTGGTGTGGTGAAGAATCAGAAGCACTGTAAAGAAGGGAGAAACCCGGAAGGAGGGGAATTTAGACCATTGTGGGATATAGAAGTTTACATTCTTATCAGCGGAGGATTCCTGGCAATAACCATATGTGTAGGTGTTTGAAAGGGAGTAAGGATCATGGGGAGTCACAAAAACAAAGGTGTTTCAAGGTCTGGCTGTTGGGTGGTTTACCCACGTAGATGTTGCCCATGACAATTGAAGGGAATTGGGGTGGAGAGGAAAACAGCTGTGCAATTGCCAAAGTCTTGAGTGAACAAGGGAAGAGGTCAGGAGGCAAGCAAATAAAGGCAATGAGAAGTAGTAACGAGTGGTATGGATGAATGTCATTAGCCTCAAAGGAAGAGGGCTTTTATTTCCATGCAGAGCAAAGAGTAATGGTCCGGAAGCAGCTCAGAGAGCTTCCCCCAAGCCTGCATCCCCAGGAGACATGAAATGTGGGAGGAAACTCAGCCTCCAGCCAGAGAGGAAGTGAGTGTCTGCTCAGGTCCAGCTGCTATTTAGGTAAAGTTGTGTCCTCAGTTGTATCCTGCACACAGTAGCTCCCGCACAACCAAATAACATAACATAAAAGATTTCATGATAAGTTTGAGATATACTGCATGATATAGCCTCCTCTAGGAGAATCATGTTCTAAAAGATTCAAGAAATCTTGCCGAGTAGAAACATGTTTTATGCTAATATTTTCAGATGTGTTTGCCCAGTGAATTATTGTCCCAGGAGGATACCGACTAAAACCTCACAAAATAGGCGTTCTATGGCCAGTGGGAAAAACTCAGTTAAGAAGGAAGAAAGAGGCTTCATGAGTGAATGAATGAATGAATGAAGCTTACTGAGGAAAGTAAAAGCCTGAAAATGTTAATCTGTGATATTCTGATTAGAGAAAGAAATTTACTATAAGCATTCCCTCCTGAAACTGATTGCCTTGGAAGGTAGAACAAATATTGGAGGTTGGTCCCTGATAAACCAGAAGGACATAATGGAGGAAGATAAGGAGGCAAAAGAGGTTGAATACGCAGAGGTACAGTATGGCATCCAAAGTCAGCCCGGCTGGTTTTGAATCCCAGGTCAGGCACTTCCCAGCTCTACAACTCTGGGCAGACTATTTGCTCTCGATGCCTCAGTGTACTGACCTTTAGAAGAAGAAGATGGAGGAGGAGGAGATGCAGGAGGAGAGGGAGAAGGGGAAGGAGAAGGAGGTTTATATCATAAAGTGCAGCCAAGTTTAATTAACACAGAAATGGTTAAAAAAAATGCCTGGTACATGATATCTGCCCCAGAATGAGAGCTGTAATTATTTAGAGTTTACTTGCAATGGAAGGAGAGTTCCAAGTGGCAAATTGGTTTCAAATAGTGGGAGTTGCCAGAGGACAGTAGCCCCAGGTCCAAAGGAAGAAGATAGAAGAGGCAACTCTCAGATGAACCTGAACTAGGTGGAAATGTGGATCCCAGGGGCACTTCCCCAGAACCATTCAATGTCCTCCCCATCTGCACAGCAGTTTAACCTTTTCATTCCCACCGCTATGTGGGCTACATAAGACAAGATGAACACTCTCTAGTGCATTTACTATTTAAATTTCCTCTAGTGTGAATTTTTCATTCATTTCCTTTGCCCTTATTTATACATCAAGATCTTAAATGACTTTTCTTCCTAATGTAAATGCAGGTAGTCCTTGCCCCCATCCCTCTCTGCCTCTTTCTCTTTGCCTGACTCCGAGAAAAACCCTGAGCTGGTTCCATTCATACCTGTCATGTCAATGATCTTCCCACTGAGAATATTAAGAGGCCTAGTCAAAGCATTTTTTAATAAGGATAATGGTTAAGAAATACAGAGATCTTTCTGAGCAGAGAATCTTTCTCTAGGCCTTGCAACAATTTTCTTCCCTCTTCACTCAATATCTTTTCAAATTATTAACCCAAGACTTCAGTCCTCTCTTTTTAGCTGACAGTTTTGAATCAGGAATATTGCACCATGTCCAAGCCTCTGAAATCTAATAAGATAGAACATGCTTTTCCCGCTCTGTGAGAGTGAAGGAAAGCAAGTGGAAGAAAATGCTCTAGGCCACCAACGAGGAGTTCTGCCTTTCTTCAGACGTCCTCCCTGAAGGAGATGACAAGGATATTAGCTTATTATTCAGGGCCCAGCCTGAGAAAGCATGGTGAACCAGATGGGACTGAAAAGGCCAACTCAGATCTTCCAAAGATTCCTTGATGGTACCTTACACTCACACTGGACTTTACTATTTACAAAACCCTGTGATCTTTCCATTGGTTGCTTTCAACAATTCTGCCCTCATGGATAGCTCTACGTTGATGAGGACAACACCTGCATTTGGTATTTCTCTGTATATGAAAACACTTGAAATGGGATCATTTACACCTTGAGAAGTATTCAAGGAATTATCCACTGCATTAGTCATGAGTACTTCCCCTAAGGTCAGTATGGGAGCCCTTTTAGAATGGGAGGGGAGGAAGCATAATGAGGAGAGTAGGAGGACGTGGTAGAACATTAGGGGGAGAGGGGAAGAGAGAGAAGGAAGGTTTATAGGCCAATTCCCAGACTTCTAGACATGACGTCCCCAGTCCACTCCTCTCCTCTTTCCTACACATAAGGCCAAATCAGCTCTTTTGAGCCTCTGCCTCCTCCCTATGGATTTTATTTATTTATTTTTTTTACCGGGACACTGTCAATTTTTACTTCTAACAGTTATCTCAGTCCTAGACCATGGACCTCTCTCATATTACAAACATTTGAGGACAAAGGATACAGGACAGGGGAGACCTGGTCTCACTGTAAAAGATAAAGCAACAGCATTAACACCAATATTTTTGTATTGTCTCTTCACCTCCATTTTGCAAACAATTCTCTGTTTTGTAGATGAGGCAGCTGAGCATCACGAGGGTTTAAGTGACATGACCGAGATCTTCACCTACCGAAGCTTTGAGGAGGACTCTGTGCCAGCTCTTTTGACTCCCAGCCTCCTGTTGCTCTGTCAATAGGGGATGGAGAGATGAAAAGTGGTCCATTGTGGGCTCCCTCCCTACTTCAGCCAGAGAAGCTAGCTCTGATCTGTAACGTCTACTGGGGTTTTGTAATATTGTGTTTCCAAAAGGGTCCGCTGCCAAAAATCAAAGTTTGGAAATCATGACACTACATAGGCCTAGGAATATGAGAGCAACCACAGGCTCCTTCTCTAGAAAGTCACTGTCAAGGGAAAGCAATTGTCATCATCATCAGAACCAGAATATATTTGAGCTCTTGTTCTTTTAAGACACTGTATTACGCTAGCTGCTAGAGACAAAAGGCTTTAGATCATGGCCCCATTACTGAGGAGCTAACAATTTAGTTGATAATGAAGACATTTCTGAAATGTTAATATGTGCACTAAAAACTGGTATATTCCATAAGAGTGATGGCCACTCAAAAGTTCCTTGGAAGAAGAGGTCTTTCTAGATGGGACAGGAAGTACAAAAGTTACCATTCAAAGATAGGTTCTCTAGGACTTCAAAAATGGAAATGAAATATGACGAGGAATATCCAGGGCAAAATGAGACTTTCCTTCATGGGTAAAAGTACACTGTGGATGTCTGACTAATGACCCTGGAACGGGAAGGCTATTTTAACAACAGTTACCTTTCCATGCTAAGTGTGGTATATGAGTTGTCTTATTTGATCCTCACCTTAACTCAATGATGTAGCTATCTCATTTTACCTTCTCAACAGTCCTTTGAGTAAACACTATTGCCATCTCTATTTTACAGATAAGGAAACAAAGCTTTTAGGGACTAAGCAACTTTCTTATTTCTTCCATTCTTTTGGCTAGAAAAGGTTGAAACTCCATTTGTACCCAAGTTCATCTGAATCCAAAACCAATTCTCTTAAACATTTTATAGAATAAAGATTTCAGGGAGAAAGGGCACATCTGAAGAGTGGCACAGTGGATGGCTTCCTCAGAGCAGCTCTTTGGTTTACAGGGCTTAGGGATGGGATATAGTCCTTTGGTGAGTAAGAGTGATTTGGAAGACCCAGTGTCGAATGGACAACTAGAGCAGTGGTCAACATTCATCAATGGCCTGAACTAGGAGCCAGATCAAAGAGGACACAAAGCCAGACTTGGGTCCAGCCTAGAGATGGATTTGAAGCAATGTACAGAGTAAATCAGTCAGAATAGACTGGTTTTGCTGTGGTAACAACCTCAAAATCTGAGTGGCTTAACACTGCAAAGCTGCATTTCTCACTCCTGAAAATTCAGCTGCTGATCCAGGGCAGTCATTCTCAATGGGGTGACCTCAAGCACCAGGCTGCTAGAAATGCCACCATTCTGTGCAGCCTCCTTGGTTAATTCAGTAGGGAAGAGCAAGACTGGATAATGACATATGGCCCTTTTAGTGCCTCCACCCAGAAGTAACATCTTTCACTTCATCCACAGAACTAATCACATGGCCTCACTTAACTGCAAGGGAGCTGAGGAATGCAGTACTCTGCGCACCAGGAATAGAAAAAGAATTAGACCTTGATGGACATGGTATGCCTACCACGGGAACCTCTAGAAAGTTTTCAATAACATGCCTCACTGTATAATAATTTACTAGAAATCCGCAATTACTCTTCCATGAAAAGTGCCTCACACCACCCACTTGGAGGTATCAGCGGATACATCTGTATTCATGACAATGTCCCAAGGCTGTAGTTTATCGGACATGGGGTCCTAATTCCCCTGACCCAAGAAACACCATTCTGATTCTCTATCCCAGAACTGGAGCACAGATCTGGGGTGTCTCTGTATATATCCTTAAAGCAAATATTTTTCTGTGTAAGTGAGCTCAAGTTGATTTCTGTTCCTTCAAGGCCTCCATATTGATAAATGTAAATAGTTGGCTCAAACTAAAGGACTGATAGGCACACACGTTGCTTGGGTAAACTAAATAAAATTGTTTATTTTAAAGACTCAGAAAACAAGTTAATCAAGTCAAGATTCACAGTAGACAGATCAGCAACATTCTCCAGGAGTGACTGAGATGCAAGCTGCCAAACCATAAAGTCCTCTTCTGGATCCCCAAGTCTGAAAGAGAGAAAGGATCTCGTCAGAACGTGTGAAGTCCAAATTCATCTCTCTGGAGAGTCAGCTTTCTACTCTCCAGTCCTGTGTGCAGTCTTGTCTGGATGCTTGCCGGAGACCCTGTCATCAAGGGCAGATTCAACTCATTAATCTCAATGTTATACAATAGGCAGCATCCTTACAGAGTGCAGAACAGGTCTGTAAGCTCAGGGAAATGGCCAGCAGCCTCTGAAGAGGCCCTCTCAGCTGAAGTCATAGGACACGTAACTCAAGCAGGACCATCACTTTCACAGACACATGAATTCTAATGGGCAAGAATGAAATACGGTTACAAGGGTTACATTTCAAACTTCAAAATTCTTTGTTAAGCAAAATGGGGTCAGGAGCTATGATAATCAAAATGCACAAACTTCTTTTTCTCTTTCTATTTTTTCCTTCACTCCCCCCACGCCCCTTTAAGAACACTTGTGGCTGAGAACAAGAGAGAAAAGGTCATATCTTAAATCTCTTTAGTGACAATTGCTCACATGCCACCAGAATACACTTAACTCCATCTGTCCTTTTCTTGTGTCTCCTTAAGAGGAGTAATGCTGTTGTAATCAGAATTCAATCACATGAGCTGAGCACTATCTTATTGGAATGGGATGGAAATTAAAGACAATCATCTCAAACAAAAGTTTAACAATTTCTTCTGCTTAAGGATCTGAGCAAAGTAGTACTGAAAAGATAGAGGTAATCCAAAATGGCAGAGGATAAAAAAGAATTTTATTTTCTTAAAAGACCCATAAAATCTGGGCTTCAAACAGTTTATAGACCTATTATGTACGTTTACTAAGGAAAAGAAAAGAAATCCAAGTTTCTTTGTTATTGTTTGTTTTTAATGTCATAATTTGGTTTCTTACAATAATTCGCTCATTGTAGAAAACTTAGAAAACACAAAGAAGAAAAGAGGAGAAAATTAAAATCCTCCATAGTCTTGCCACCCTGAGATTCTTTGTTGAATTTAAATATGCATAGACGCATCTGTCTATATCTATCTATCATCTATCTATCTACACAGACACACACGAAACAAACGATTTTTACAAATTGTATTATCACTTTAAATTCTTAACAATGTATCTTTGTGGAGAACAGTACTACCATTCATCAATATCCAGTTCTCCTCTTCCTCAGGCCCACTAGATGACTGACTTCCCTGTCCTTTGAGCTTGACATGTGGCCATTGACTTTGGCAAATAAAATGTGAGCTGAAGTGACATATGTCACTTTGAGGTGAAAGCATTTAATTTCCAAATCTGCTGTGACAAGAAGGTGTCATTAAGATGGAAATGCTCTGAAATACTAAACCAACACATGGAGGGGAGCTGCCCTGGAGAGTCACCAGCTCTACATGTGTCTTTGTGTAAGACTCTGAAAACTTTTGGGGCTGTCACTGCAGTTTATTCTGATTGATACAATCTTTAGCATTGTTCTGACACTAAACATTATTCTAAAAAAATCATTAAAGGCTGAATTACATTTCATCATAATTTATTCAGCTAGTCTCTTATTGTTGAATATTTAAATTACTTCCAATTTATAAGCAATATTATAAGGAACACATTTTTATTTATATTTTGCTGATATTTATGGTTATTTCCTTAAGGTGCAATCATAGAAGGGAAAGTGATAGTTCAACGATATATAATGGTATATAAAACCAAAAATTTTTTAAAATATAGTGCTGAATCATCACATAAAAAGACTGTTGACAGAATCATCAATGGCATAAAGAATAGATGATTTCTGTATTTGATATAAATATTCTATCTTTTAAAGATGAAAATGGTGCCCTATGGTTTTTAATTGAAATTCTATGAGTTAAATATTTTTTAATAATTGTACAGGTTATTTGTATTTCCTCTTTTGTGAATCTTTTCATCATTTCTTTATTGATTTCTTAAGATCCCTCTATTTGTTAGGAATTTAATTATTGATACATGATAACACTGATACAAGAATTTAATTAGTGAAACAATGATACATTCATTAAGAATTAACCTTTGTTGTATGCATGGCATATATTTTTTCCAAGCATCAATTTGGTGGGAAACATTCCACTGTTACATTTTTTAATTTTACAGGTATGTTGATTGTTTTTTGTTTTGTCAGGTTATCAAATCTATTAATATTTTTCTTTAAGGTTTTTGTCTTTAGTAACATGTTGAAAATATCTTCTTCATCCTCCAAGTATAAATCCTCACATATTTTTATAGTATTTTATGGTTTTGTTTTTATACTTAAATCTTTGATCCATATGGTAGATAAATTATATATGGCATAAAGTTAAGGTCTATTTTTTTCCCAGATGGCTGGTTTTCCTAACAATGCTTATTGACTAATATTTCCTTTCTGTAAAAGTTTTAAATGCCATGTTTATCCATATACCAAGTTCTCAGAAATACTTTGAGACTGGACTTCTGTCCTATTAACTGATCTATGTCTAAATTGGTACCTGACTACTTTACTTATTGTATATTTATATTCTTCAATATCTCATATCATATATTGCTATTCTTTTTTGTCATTTCCTTTCCTATTTTTAAGTACTTATTGTTCAAGCTGAACTTCCAAAAATTCCACCTGGCTTTTCATCTTTTCCAGGAACATTATTCAAGCCTTATTTATGTCCTTTTCTTCATTAATTCATTCAACAAATATTTATTGAGCACTTACTATGAGCCAGGAATCATTCTAGGCACTGGGGATACAATGGAGAGCAAACAGAATTCCTTGCCAGTGGAGTTCATGTTGTTTTGGGGTTTTTTTTTTTTTTTGAGGAAGATTAGCCCTGAGCTAACATCTGCTGCCAATCCTCCTCTTTTTGCTGAGGAAGACTGTCCCTGAGCTAACATCCAAGCCCATCTTCCTCTACTTTATATGTGGGACGCCTACCACAGCATGGCTTGCTAAGTGGTGCCATGTCTGCACCCGGGATCTGGGCCACGAACCCCAGGCTGCTGAAGGGCAACATGCAAACTTAACCTCTGCGCCACCGGGCCGCCCTGGAGTTCATATTCTAAATAGAGAAGAGAAAGACAATGAACAAGATAAATGAGTACGACAGACCGTGTCAGACAGCAGTAAGAGCTAAACAGAAAAAATAAAGCTGGGAAGGGGGATGTGGAATATCATTTTTGGTCGTTTTGAGCCATGTTCTCCTGAAAGCAGATGCTAAGAGAATCAGACAGCAGGAGATTCATTGGGAGGAAAGCCTGTGAAGGATACAGGAGCAAGAAAAGGCAGAAGCACCCTCAGACACCAATGAAAGTCTGACACCCATAAAAAAGACAGAGAAAGAAGGAGAAGTGGAGATGAGGGAGGGAATGGGTTAACAAAAAAGCCTGTGACTGCTGTGTAGCTTTGAGAAAGTCTCAGTGGGGCTGATGGAGCCTCAACACAAGCACTGCTCTTTAGTGCATTCCTGCATCTGGCAAAGAGCCTTGTGCTAAATCTAGGGCCCTGCTGCTTTCTCTCCCTGGTTGGGAGCAGCCAGGGGCTGTGGCCTTTGCGTGGTAGATTGCAATGGAGCCAGCAGTGTGGGAGCTGCAGGCTCCAGCATGTAAAGAGCTGAGGAAGAGGCGAGTGGTGACCCTCTATGGCTGCCACACTGGGGAAAGTGTTAATGTTTTTAATAGGCTGGTTTTGAAGTTTAGTTCATATACCTTGTACATTTCTTATTTACTCATAACTATTCTATAATTTTGGTTGATATTATGATTTGGGTGCTATTTCACATGTCATTTAAAAATTATTTATTGCTAATATGCAGGAACCTAAATTCTGGATGTTTATTATGCTGAATTCTTATTAATTTGGTTCTTAGGTTGAGATTCTTACATCATTAAGAACATCATCACAAATAGCTTTGTCTCCTCCAAAAATTCTGCTTCATTTCTTTTCCTTATCTCATTGCCAGATCCAGGTTGAAATATAGTGACGATAGTGGATATATTCACATTCAGGGAAATCTCTTTAAGTTTTACAGCTAAGGATTGTGCTCGATGTTCTGTGTCACAATGCGAAAAAAATGTACCTAGATCAGTTTCCTAAGAAAATCTAAATTATCAAAATAAACTTAGGAAAATGCTCTAGGAACATCATCTTCCCATGTCGTGCTATAGAACTATAGATCATGTACTCTTACACGTTGGTTGCTTCCTTCCTATCTGTGATCATATTTTTGATCATTCCCAGTGTTTCTGGTTGTGCTTTTGCTTATTCTTTTTCTTTCTTGGACTTCAAGAACCTTCCTTCTTTCATGGATCTTTTCAAAGAACTAGCTCTTGAAGTATCTATCATTTCTGCATCTTTTTCTTTCACAACTTATTAATTTCTGCTTTTATCCTCAGCATCCCTTGCTTTGTTCTTTGATTAATTTAATTTTATTTTCACAGGTCTTTAAAAGAGAAAAAAGTGAGATCTGTTTGTGCCTTTTATAGTTAACACCAATCTATCCACATCTCTATTCATAATATTAATAATCACATATCACAGCAGCATGGGGTCATGACCAAAGAGACTCTGGTCTGGTGCCAATTGCCTGGGTTCACATCCCAGCTCTACCTTTGCCAACTGTGTGATGTGGACAAGCAATTTCCACATCTGCAAAATGAAGATCATTATAATAATAAAACTTACCTCATAGGGTTAGTGTGAAGATTACTTGAACTAATATTTGTAAAGCTTCTGAAACAGGGCTTGGCTCACAGTAACTGCTATGTAATACATGAATAGATTACATTTATGCAGTACTTTATCCTTTACAAAGCACTTTCACATTAATTTTCTCCCTTAGTTATCATGAAAACTCCATGAGGCAAACAGTTCTCATCTCTACTTTATGTATGATAAAACTGTGGCTCCAACAAGTTGACTTACATGAGATCACCAGTTAGTGAGTGGAAGAGCCAGGTCTTATGATTCTGTGATCAATGTGACTTAAAGCTCAAATGACTCCT